TAAACGCCTTGAGGATCATTTGCAGCTTTCAAACAACAATTACAACATCCGTTAAATCTGCTAAGCCAACAATAACACTAGACCAACACTATTACTTAATGTATGGATGTCTAAACTTGCTAAATCAAATTCAATTTTCATGAAAAGTGAAACCATATGATATCCAAGCATAATATTCAAGCAAATATGGTTTACTATTTCTAATCATGCACAAATCTAACCACAAACCCTACACAATAGAAATGAAGATACTCCCTATTATTCAGCTGGTGTATTTATGTCAGGTACAAAAGCTCCTTTGCTCCACTTGAAGTACTCTTGTGTTAGACTTCCCACACTTACAAACTGCTTTTGAACAACTTACACCTCCCTGAAATGTTTATCAGAACAAAAAACTGCACAACTAAATGGTCAGCACATTTCAAGTTTCAAACTTATTTCAGCACTTTAAAAAAATACAGAACACCGCTCAACAAGAAATTGTGGCTCTAGATGCAGCCACAAAAAACTCACAAAATCAGTCTCTCTAAAGCTTAAAGCACCAAAATGTAAAGGTTTGGAAGGAAATTCTCCCTTGCAGTCAACACAGCTGAGAGTCTTCCAGACCAACCACCACCTAAAATGCTAACAGCACACAACCTTCTTTTCAAATTCAGAAACCCAAGTATCCAGCTTCTCAAACAGAATGGCTAGGCTAGGCAAAAATCAGTCAACAGACCAGAACAAGGACAGCACAAAACAATGATAGCATAGCAGGTCTATTCTTAAAGACAACTCTAGATTCATTATGATAAAGCTTAAAGCTTTCAAATTAAGATCAGCCGAATAGATTGAACCTGTTTGTGATAGCCACAAACCCAAAAAAAAAAAGAGTTATCAACCAGACAAGCAATAAACAAAGCTTTGAGAAAGTGAGCACTCAAACTGAACCTAATAATAGCTCTAGAAAAGATTTTAAAAACAAATAAAAAAAACCCAAACAAGTTGCATTTGCACCAAATTCAAATTCAGTTCAGAATTGGTTGAAACTGTTCCATAAAATGCCTAAGAGACAGGCTTTTCCTAATTTCATTTGCTTTCAATAAAAGTCAATTTCACTGTCTGTCATCTTTTAAAACTATATAACTGTGTTCTGTTGAATTGTTTTCACCTGTAACATCAAATGAGCCAAGGCTTTTGCTGCATGACAACTCAATTTGCAAATGCAACCATTCCATGTTCCACAAATTTCAGAAAAAGGCAAACAACTAGCAACTTGTGAATGAAAAATCAAAAGTTTTTGTGGTTTAATTAAAGATTAAAGTCTAGGGCAGCCTATTAAACTCATGGTTTCTTCTTTGCATCATCAGTTTCAAACAACCAAAACAAACTTGTTTATAAAGCAAATAGATGCAGAAACACACTATATCAAAATTTGATTTAATCAGCCCCAAAATACTCAAATTAAGCAACTCTTCCACTCAAATTTTGACTTAATGAATCAAATGACCGTTGAACACTTAAATTAACCAGAACAGCAACTCAAGCTTGAACAAGCACTAAATCACAGTGAGAGATATTTAGGCAATGATCTCTGTGCTAACCAGATTTGAAACAAAAATAACTAGACTTCAAGCAAGGCAATGCAAGATCGGTCAACGCAAATATCTCTACTAACTGAGTTTTGGTCAGTGCAACCAAGCTTTGGCAAAGCATTCATTACTTATCTAGTATGCACATGGTACTGGCTCCAATCATCAGATGCATCTCAATTCTAAGTCAACAGATTTACTCAATCAGCCAGTCGATCTGAGATTAATGTCACTTTTGCATGCACCCGAGCTCACAATGATGTATCATAGCTCATATGGTGTGCATCAACTGAACAATTAATTCAGCATCTCAGATAAAAAAAACAAAATTCAAACAGCAAATTCAACAAAGAATTAAACACAAAAGAAGCAACTAAACATGACTTTGACAGAAACAGAAATAGATTTCAAACATAAAAGACTCAACACAAACTTGCACCGAATTAAATGATAATAAGACTCAAAAATAATGACTCAAGCACAGGACACGCAACTTGGAAACCTAAACAGATATGAAGAGAATCAAAACACGAAACTCATAATAGTGAACATATCAACTTGAAAACCTAAACGCAAAAATTGAACAAATGCGAAATCAACACAAGACATTCAATGAAGATAATGAACAATGCGAAAAATTGAAGAACAAACTCAGAATCAAAATCAAACCGAGACAGAACAAGATGAATGAACAGAGACGCGAATAACACTGAAACAAGAATCGAAACAGAGACCGAAACACTTCCTAGATACTTACCTTCGAAGCGTGTTCGACCTTGCTCTGAATAACCACTTGATGGACGAACGCCCTAGGAGAGGTCGCTTGAAGCTGTGCGAACACGAACGACTCCTCGAAGCTTCTCCGACGAAGAATACGCAGCGGAATGTTGAAAATGATGAAGAGAACACGAGATCGAATATTGCCTCGAAGGAAACTAACTCGTGCTCTATTCGGACCAAAAAACACTAGACTGAACTGACCGATGGCCACCCTAGAAAAGGGAAAACACAAATGAACCGAACTAATAATCGGTTCAAATGAAGATTGAACGGTGGAAAATGGATTGAATCGAGACAAAAACAGGTTTTTAATCGGTGGAAATCGAAGGAACGGTGAAGATGAGGTGCAAATATGGAAGGAGATGTATATTCATAAAGAAAAATGATACTTACGAAGGAAGAGACGTGGATCTGAGATGGTGGTACACTCAAGAAGAAAACCCTAGCTGATGAGGTTTCTTCAAAGTGGAAAATGAGAGAAATGTGGATGCGAGAGTGGGAAAATGGAAAGTGATGCGTTCGACAGATAACGCTGGGATGAAGAGGCTGATGCAAGGAAGCTGAACTAAACCAAAAAAACCTGGCAGCCTGACGCGTGCCAGTGTGCAGTGGCGCTCAGCGTGGAATGAAGAGAAGCACCGTGAAGTTTGAAGAAATTGGAAGAATGAGAGTGTGCTTGGAAGGTGGCTAGAGGTAGTCTTTGGACTCTCTAGCCTGACTTTCAGAGAGAATAGTTGTCTTTTCAGAAAGTCTAATTCCTCATTAATCTCAAATCCTAATACAATAGATGAGTTGGGTATTTATAGTAACCCATGCTCCTTAAGAGCTAAGCTAGGAAAAGTAAAAATACAAAAAGAAGACTACGTCAAGGAGGATTCCATCAATCATTCTCTCACCAGATGGCTTCTCCCTCTGCATCCCCAGGACGGTGCGGCGACGGTGCGGCAAGGCGAGATGAGACGAGATGGTGCGGCGACGGTGCGAGACGGTGCGGCGAGGCGAGAGAACTCCGACGGCGCGACGAGGGAGCTCGCGACGGTGCGGCGAGAGCCCGCGACGGCGGCTGCAATGGCGGAAACCCTTTTCTGCGTTTTTGGTTTTGTTTTGATTTTTGGTTTTTGGTTCTCTTTCTTTGCAGGTAGATGGCGAAATGCATTGATTTTTTGTTTTTGGTTTGGATCTCTATCTCCCGTCTGTCCTCTCTGCTTCCTATTCCCCTTCTTCTTTGATTGTCAAAAGTAATTTTGTGCAAAGACATGGATGAAAAGAATTGCAGAAAAGAGAAAGAAGTTTAACCAAATAAACAAACATAAAAACTTTGATCTCGTTGGAAATAAAAAAAATTAAAAGACTCTACTGCCTCGGTTGTTTTTGAACCGAGTCAGAATCTGAAATCTTTTGATTCAGTTCAGGACCGAGTTAAAAAATCCATTTTTTTTACCTCGTGTGCATATACACCGGTTATAGAACCGGTGTCTATTTGAAAAAATAACCGAGGCAGTGATTGCACTAGTGTTAGTCAACTAAATGGTCACCTACTAACTTAAGCAACATCTTTAGTCAAGCTTCCTAACAACTCGATCAATCTTGTATATGTCCTGCCCGATCTGTTATAATTCTCGATCGACGTGCTGCATGACCTGCCTAAATATGTTACAATGCTCGGTTGACCTTCTACATAACTTCCCGGTATGTTATAATGATTTTAAGCAAGATTTATTATAACAATTTTAAGCTGATGTTAAAAGTTTAAACCTTATGTTGGAAACTGACCTCAAAGTCTCATTTTTAGTAGTGATTTAAAAAATTTCTTTTATCATGACGTCAGTTCTTATTTTTCATGTATCAAATACGATCTTGTGAACTACCTTCTTTACAACATCTTTTCTTTTATAGTTTGATAATGAGATACTTTTCTTTTGTCAGTCATGAGTATTTTTTATTATTATTATACGTTTGTTATAAAGATAAATAGTTCATTCCACACAATATATATTGACATATTTAAGTTTTAGAATAGTAAGAAAAAGATAAATAGAATTAGTTCAAAAATTTTAATTTTATTTGAACTCCATTAATGAATGTGGTACTTGAATAAGTATTTGATCTTTAATAATTACATGTGTATTTGTTAAAGAAAATATTAACGTTAATATACCATTAATCTAGAGTAATTCTTTTGAAATGTTTTGAATATTAATATTAATTTTCTATTTAATAAGCATATATAAAATTACTAAGCATTCAACACGTGATCAATTATATTAATCATCTACAAAATTAAAAAAAAACTATAAGAATTAAAATTGTTATACTAAAATATAATTTGTTATTATACTAAAAACAAAATATATGTTATAGTAATATTTATTTGTAATCATTATTTATTCTTATTATAATTGTTGATCATCACCAAATATAATATCAGGAAGATAGAATTATATACTAGTATGTAACTCTATTCGTAATGGTTCGTAATTATTGTAAATTTTGTAAGCTTCCATTGTCTGGGCGGAGACAATTGAATTCAAGAAAAGTAAGCTCTGGATTATTTTCGGAAGCCTATGTTATATTCAATTCGTGATGAACTGCATTCATCCGTGGCAACTGTAGTGTGTAGCAGACTTGGCGTATAGTACGAAGTTAAAATAAATTATTCCAACTACTTGTAACTTAGTGACCAAACAAAACATATGATAAAAGTTTGAGATTATGAAGCAACAAATAAAGAAATCCAAGATCCATGGAACGAAATATGAAGAAAGTGAGAAGCAAAAGGGTCATCATGCATCGATTTATCTGCACAGACAACACAGAGTTACTGCTGTTCCATATCCGTTGCTTTGCTCCAACGCTTTATGAGCAACGTGGCGACCAACAAATGGCGATTTCGACTCTTGAACTGGGAACAAGTCATTATGTCCATAAATGGTTGAACAATGATTATTCCTTCTATGATTTGCAGCTTTTCTTTCTGACAGAAGATTGTTACCAAGTGAGGGAGCAGCAGCACTCACGCTCACTGCATCAGTAGTTAGCTTTGAACAAAGTGAGAACAACCAAGGCCTCAGCTTGTGATTATTTTCGTTGTTCTTTGAGGGTTGCACCAATCTTCCCTTGCTTGATCTCCTTGAGACTTCTAAAAACCTAGAAATTCCCATGAGGCTGCCAAGCGTGATGCTCTTGTCACGGAAGAATGATGCAGTGGACTTAACCGAGCAATACGAAGTTAGAAAAATGACCCGTGAAAACAATGCTATATATGAACATGCATAATCCAATCTAAAATTTCCTTTGAAATTACTTCTGTCAAATATTATAGTAAGTTTTGAATTACTCTACGAAGAGTCTATGGAAAATGGTCGTGCTCATTAGACGTTATGCTTTTGATTTGTGTTTAGAAAACGACTTCTCAAACTTTTGACTCATTTTTCGTATTCATTAAATATATTTTTCAGAATGATATTAAATACAGTTGGGAATAATTCTTCACTTGACTTAATAATTAAAGGAATATTTTAATTGAGTTGTACTTGAATATGACAACCTATAAACCAAAATTAAAGACACAGAAGTCAAATCAGAAGCATTTTGTCTCAACGCAAGACCATGTTCTGGGCCATGGGAACCAAGCAACACCGGTAACACCGAAGAGATTGAGAATCCAAAAGAGAACAACAAGAAGATGAATAGTCATGGCAAGTCTGATCGCCAAAATCATAGTCACATAATATATTGAATGAACGATTAAGCAACAGCGTTTCGTGGGTATTACTTGTGTTTCATTTCCACAAAGGTTTCCCACATTTATTAGAGTTATACTAATGCACATTATATATTGTGTCATTTATTGTAAAGTTAAGTTAATATTAAAATCCCTGCTTGAAACGTTACAATGACTGTTTGAAAAACTCTAAAAAATTCGTCAATGAACTTTAAAACGAGACAGAATGTGTAAAAGTTTAGCTTGACCATTATAGGTTTGTTGACAGAAAGTTATTTACCTGTGTGTCAAGATCTGATGAAGAATGAGTTGAAGGGGTGGGAGAAGCGGTGAGAATGGTGCTGAAGGAAACTGAACCAGAGAAATCACCATTTCCTGCTAACCCAATTCTTGCATTCAATAGTCTCAAACCCAAAGGCCACCCTTCTTCCTCCTGCATTGCCTCAAAACCAGCCAAAGGGTACGTAAAAAAACATAAGATACAGAATATGAAAAACTTATTTTTCGTAGATAATATCTCTTCAAATTTTAGTGTGCTTCTCTTTTTCAATCAGTACACGTTCCAAAAACACTGTTAGAGATGATGACAGTTAAACCAAAAACACTCATAGTGAATTGATTTAAAACCTTCTTTGTATGTGAGTGAGAGTGAGTATAAGGGGATAGAGATGATACCTGCAAAACCATTACTGTGTTTGAGTGAATTACCTTGGAATGGTATGAACAATACGGAAATGAAATAGTAGAAACAAGAGTATCGGTGTTAAAATACTCACCAACCTAAGACTCAATCCCTTTTTTAGTCAATAGGTGCTTCATTCCACATAAAAAAAAAAGAAAACTATTACATTTAATGTTCTACAAAACATAATTATTATTTTAATACATAAATAGATAAATAATCTGTAATGTTTTACGAAATATAATTATTATTTTAATATATAAATGGATAAATAATCTGTCCAATATAACTTGATATATTTTATTTTTAATATAACTAAAAATTCAATGTTTTGTATAAAAATGTAATTTAGTTGATTTCATTTGAATTTATTTAATAACTAACTAATCAAGCATATATATTTTAGGTTTAATCATTCACTAAGTCCCTATTTTCGCATGGAATCTCAATTTCGTCCCTTTCTTTCTGAAAATATCAATTGGGTCCCAATTTTATGAAAATTGCAACAAATCGATCCTTTCCGTTAAATAGTGTCAAACGACGTTAAAAAAATTTGAGTGGATGCTAAGATGACGAACGAACGCTCGTCCACCAGCGAATGAACGCTCGTTCACCAGCGAACGAACGCTCGTCCACCAGCGAACGAACGCTCGTCGACCACCGAACGAACGGTCGTCCAGTGTGGAACGAACGGTCGTCCAGTGTGGAACGAACGGTCGTCCAGTGTGGAACGTTCGTTCGTTGGTGGACGAGAGTTCGTTCGCTGGTGAACGAGCGTTCGTTCGCTGGTGGACGAGCGTTCGTTCGTCATCACAGCATCCACTCATCAATTTTTTTAACGCCGTCCAGCCAATTTAACGGAAAGGATCGATTTGTTGCAATTTTCATAAAATTGGGACCCAATTGATATTTTCAGAAAGAAAGGGACGAAATTGAGATTCCATGCGAAAATAGGGACTTAGTGAATGATTAAACCTATATTTTATCTTTAATGGTCACCTAAGTTGATTGGATTGATTGAAGGAATTAATACAATTAAATCCTTGAGAGGATTAGGATCGATGCAACGATTTCTAGCATATTATAAAATCAATTATTTTATTATACTATATATATATTCTAAATATACAAAACTGATGGTATGAAATATAATTTGAGAACTCGGATAGAAGGTTGTCTCTGTTTTGAGGAAAAAATAAAAAGAAAAACTATCATTCACTGAATATACCCTCTGACCAATGCAACACAACAAGAGTAGAATTCAACGACTGCACAGAGAACAAACAAAGGAATCAGCATTGATGAGATAGTGGCATGCCCGTATGGCTATAAAACTGTGAGCGTGGTAGAATGGATATGGACGTAAGAGCTTTTCTATTGCAAGTGAATGCATAATTGTCTCTGAAAGTCAAAAAAATGAGACAAAGTAGAGGGTGACATGAGAGTGACTTCTTACCAGCCTTTTTCTGCAACAATCTGAGCCCTGGTTTGGGAGATGCCACAGATGGTAGCAGCAGTGTGCTAGTGGGAATATTATTTCTGCCAGTTATTAAAGAACAAAGACTGCAGTTGTGTGGGTCAGAATAATTCTCACTCTTTGTAAGGATTACGTGGTGGGGACAAACTTAAAGGCTCTCCAAGGAACATAGTTTATTGAATTGTATATATTTGATATATAAAAATAAATTTATATGTGCTTGAATTTTATAAAATATTGTTTGAGTTATGAGATTAAATAACGAAATAATAATATTAATGAAGTGATAAATAATATTTTATATAATTTTTATCACATACTTAAACAGTGCTTTATGAAAGTTAGAATGATCAATTACATTGCATTTCCGACTATAAAAAAATTAGGCTTTTAAAAAAGTATGATATTTTTGGTAAAGAACAACTTTTTATAATTGATCTAAGGCGTAAAAACTCTCGTTTATGGAAGTTCAAAATAAATTAACCTTTTTTTAAATGACTATTATGGGTCCGACAAAAATAGGATTTTAAAATGTTACGTATATTTTTTTCTTCCTCACTTCTTTTCTTTCTCGAAAATCAATATGCGCAATGACGACCTTAGGTGAAGTAGAGACTACGACTACAGAACAATTTTTTTTTTCACTTTTTTGTGGATTACTTCTCGTGGAAAATGGTTATGCCCAGTTACATTTAAGCTTTGTATCGAAACCTTTAATTAATTTATTCATATTGAAATCATGATTATTTTTAAAAAACTTAAAATGTCTTGCTCTATTGGTGATGGATTTTAGTGATGTTGAAACTTGAGATATAGTGATATTGAGAAATTATGCTTATGTTTACTTTATACTCCTGTTGTAAGTTAAAGTATTACTAAAGGACCTCATGAACTGATTGTCTTCTCAAAGAAAAATTATTGAGTTTTTTTTTTTTTATCTAAGCCTAATAAGCATAATTGTGTTGGTAAATGCATGTTGACATTAACTAAATTTTCATTTCACTTTGAAAGTTTAAAAACATTTAAAAGTCAAGCGGTGGCTAATTTTATGGTTGAGCTGAACAATTACTTTATGTCAAAAATTATCGATATTGAATTAGATATCGTGAACATTATTAATGAAATTGGAGTATGAAGCGTTAATACTGAGTCTCGAGACATTTATTAAGTTGGGTGCTAAAATGTGTCAATTGGAGGATATTCTCAGGCTGTAAAACAAGTGACTCCAGAATACAAGAGTTTAAATTATATCAGTACAGTAAAAAAATGTCTTTGATGTATGTTATTTTGGACATTCAACGTTTAACTCTGTCCCAATGTTTTGTTAGAAGACGTTACTTTGATGTCGAATTTCTATGGGATGTCAATTGACGCCGGCTACCACATAGACAGACGTCGAAATTGACGTTGGTTACCACGTGAACTGACGTTGACTTGCGTTAAGCGTGCATGTGCCTCACTCAACTAGAAATTCCTGGGTGAACCATTAGAAGCAATTAGACGTTGGATTTGCATTAAAAAACGTCGTAAAACGTCGGTTTCGACATTAACCAACATCTAATTTGTTTTTTTTAAATTATTTTTTTTACAATATTACCACACCTGAAATACAAAAAATCATCCCTAACACATTACAAAATTATACATACTATGTTTTTCAAGTGATTATAATACTAAAGCAATATAAAAAACAATCCAAAACTTAAACTATCAAAAGTAAGCTAATTAATGTATTTAACCGTAATAAAATTTTTCCTAAAGAGATGACCATTGGTCCTAAGTCAATCTCTGCAGAAGATATGTTGTTCACTCTTGTCGTATCCTCGTAACATTTGAAACATAAAAGGAGAAACACTTACGCTTGTAGCAAGTCATATTTCATCCTCTTATGTAGGGAACAAAATCATAAAATTGTGCATTGTCTTGGAATGATGACCACCAGTTGCCAATGAGACCTATGATGAATTACAAATAGTTAGTGGACTAGTTAAGTAAACTTTAATCAAATTTTATATTTTGTAACACATACCCACACTAATAAAAAATCGTATTTTTAACTCGCATATTATGCTTCGGTTCCAGTAAAACCGAAGCGTATCAAAACGCGGTGACAATTTCGTAATATTTAGAACACTATATGCCTCGGTTGTCAAGAAACCAATGTGTAAAGGGAATACTGCCTCGGTTAGCAAGGTGAACCGAGGCATAAACTCCAAAGATATTATATTAATTAAACCTTTCATCTGGTACGACAGTGGTGGCAAAGATACTGCCTCGGTTGATAGGAAGGACCGAGGCATACAAGCTTTTACTACCCCGGGGGCAAGAAGGACCGAGGCATAAAAGCCTTTCTTATATGCTAAGGATGAAATTTTCCCCCAAATGTTCAACCAACGAAAACCTAGCGCGACTGAGTGCCTTCTTTCTCGCGTCGTCCAGCCTCGTCCCCGACCAATCCACCGACAGCATCGTCTACTCAGAGTGCGGCCTCGTCCCCGACCACTTCACCGGTGACATCCTCTGCTCTGAGTGCGGCCTCGTCCCCGACCAGTCCACCGGCGCCATCCTCTGCTCCAAGTGCGGCCTCGTCCTCGAGTCCCACTCCATCGACGAGACCTCCGACGGGCGACAACGACCCCAACCGTCCTCGAGTCTAGATCCCCTCGCGAGGATGACGGTCACGACACCCACACAGCCAACACAGCCATGGGATCGATGGTTTCTGGCGTTAGTCTTTTTGGTTACACATCTAGGACAACGCAAGGGATGGCGATGCACGCGAGAGTCGCTGCTTACTAGGTTTGCTGGAAGGGAGGGTGGAATGGCTGATTATTATAGAGGAGTTGGTGGCTGATGCTCATTTGTTGTTGGCGTCGGCGGTGGGGAAGAAATTGATTTTTGGGGATGATAACCTCCGGAATGCTGGCGCCTTTGATTCTTACAAAAGCTAAAAAGGTACTTTTTTTTATTTTCAAGACGTTGCTGGTATTTCTGATTTTTTTTATTTTTGATGGCAAAGTTATGCACTTCATGGACTCTCCAATCTGGATAATGAAACTGTTGTTGTATTGATCAAAGGAAAAAGAATCACAGTAATAGGCTCACCTATTGATCTTGCAGCTGAATGTGCAAAATGGAACCGCATCTATTAATATGGATTGATACCTACTCACAGCTGAATGTTTACTTTCCAGATTTCCAGACTTGTGGCCATTGAAGAAGTATGGATTGATACCTAGTCAAAGTTTTATATGTGTGTAATGGTACCGCATCTATTAATACAAACTAATATCCCGCTACACAAGAATGTATTGTTTCGTAAAATATAAAAAAAAAACCCTTTCTACTGCCTCGGTTCAACGCCAAACCGAGGCATAAGACCCCCTGTACTGACTCGGTTCACCAGTAACCGAGGCAAAAGCATATACCTTTATGCCTCGGTTCAAAGTCGAGGCAAAAAGTGGTAGACTCTTTACCTCGTCTGTATATACCTTGGTTGCGGAACCGCTGCGGATAGGCGAAAATAATTGTTGTCGTTTCCCTTTACTGCACTAGTGCCATCAATGTATGGCGCCGACGTAAGGTATATGTCTCTTTTTGACTCAGCCATCTATGTCCGCAAATAATTTTGTTTGCTCTCAAGTGTGTTACCAGAAGTTGAATAGTCTAAGGTTCAATAAATTCGTACATGAAAGACCGACCTTGGTCCACAATGACTGTGTCCACTTACTTATAACAAGAAATTTAAGTTGTTAAAAATTAATAATCTAAATTTAATTAGTATGGAAGACAATGAAATATCTTACATGCACCATAGTTGAAGGATTGAAATATTCAACATCTTGTCTCTCCTAATGACCTCTATTGCATCATTTAAATTGAAATATACTGCCACATGACATTGGAGGACAAATACTCTTAAAAAATCCCAGTACAATTCTACTAGTCCTTTTGACAACCTGGATAATTTTGCCATGAGCTTTGTTAGAGGATCATTCTCTACTTTTGCCATGTCATCATCTTCATGTATTACATGTTGATGCATGGCCTGCTTCTAAAGATGTAATACTGAAATAAATATTTTCAAAGTAATCAATCAATATATATAAATTTAACATAAAACTACTAATAATAGAAATATAATACCTGTGGTGTGGCAAGATGTGGTATGATCAATGCTTTAGGCCAGACTATAAATGTGTCTATGACCTGCCCCACAAATTGAATTTCTGAAGTTGGTAAATGCACTTGAGCTTGGGGGTCATGAACTTCATCAATCGTCACACACACGTGGTAAGGTAATAAGGGAGCACCATGAATAGTTTGCAGTCCTTCAAGTACTCATCTGATAGCCACTACGTGTAGGGGATCCCCATCAACTAACAACTCATACTGACCACTACAGTCAATAGGATCTACAATAGAGCATGATCCTTTTGTGCTCACACGACGTCCTATTGGAGCTCTAGTGGGCCACCCCATAGTCGCTTGGGTCATGGACTACAACTTTTCTTTAAGCGCTCTTTGGATTTCTTTTTGTTCTTGAGCTACTCCATGAATCGTTGCTCCATAGATTGCATGCGTTGGTTGAGCCTTTCCTCCACTTAGAGCTCCATCTTCCTCAGTGCCTCTTGACTCATTGATTCACTACTTCGTTGTGTAGCGCTAAAGTAGTCCCAAAGACCAATCATACCTCCAACACCATGCACACGTCCTGGGTGTTCTGGCTTTTCAATGGTCATTGTAAGAATGTCACATCCCTACCTTGGCCAACAAAGGAATCCTAGTTTGTTGCTTAACCAACTCATCCTGCATATGATAATGAAGCCCACGCACACGAGTGACATGTTTTCCATGGGTCTTTGGTGACCTGTTTGAGGCATGGCACGCATGAACCAGCCAGTTAGCCTTCTTGGCTCGAAATAGGTCAGATTGAAGGCTCTTCTTCACCTATAAATAAGAGGGCTTCTATATTGTAAAAATAATTTTTGAGCTTAGTGAAATATTGTTTAACTTGTTTTTCAATACTATTGCTCTTGAGTCCTTTTCGATTTTTATTTCTCTACTCTTTTTTCTAACTTCCTTTATTTGTAGAGGTTTTCTGAGCTGAGAGGTCCCATACACTTACCTTCCACCCATCTAAACACGTCAAACTCGTCCATTCTCTACAATTTCCGCTGCACTGGAAGTCTCTCTATCGTGAAGCTGCTGCTTGCTTGTTTCCAGCTGGAAGTGGCTTCCATCACTATCCATGTTAATTACTAAATCCTAGTTCCTGTACTAAAATCTCAAATACTGGTGTGGTTCTCAAACAACCATAAAACACTGCATCATATCAAGTTCAAATAATCCACAGCTCCTAAATAACCTATTTTAAATTCTTATTCTGCTTATAACCCTCCTTATCCTCTGTGGAATTGTAACCTGTCTATAGTTTTAGTCTCATGACCCATAAGCCCATCCCACTGTTAGATCAAAACTTTAATTATTTACTAATATTAGTATAATAATAATAAATATACAATATAAAATATATGTGAAGTCAAATTTTAATTTATTTTTTAATAAATAATATTTTTTTACTAATAATTTTATTATGAATATTGATTTAAAAAAAATTAAATAAAATTCACTAATAATTATTAATGGATAATGGTAAGTGCGGTTGGATGTTGGAATACTTTTACCCAATCAATTATTAAGTCACTAATAAAATACCAGTACTCAATATCTATAAGTATATCAATTAAGAATATTTATTTAATATCTATCATAAAAAATTTATATGCAAATATCACATATGAATTGTTTTGTTATTCCTAATCTTTTGTTATCCCTAATGATGTAATTATGTATGTATTAAAATGGTCACTAAATACAACAATTTCGAGAAAATTTTAAGATTTACATAATTTGTTAACCTACATTTAAATGCTTCACAGTGTACTGGTGTTGGACACCCATCTGTCTCTTTATGTTGATGTCTAATGGTTGCTGTAAAATAGGAGTTATGTTGAATAAAGAAAAAGGAAAATCATCTAAGTGTTAGTAAAACTATTATAGCTTCCAAAAAGATGAGGTTGTCTAATCCTTCTTGGCAGCCCAAAATTTTGATAGCATCTGATCTCACCTCCTAACCCAGCTGTCACAATTACCAAACCCCATGCCGTAGGAACAACCGTGGAGGAAATGTGGCCACTGTCCAATAATGAATAAGATGAAGAAAATGATCCACTTGAAGAAAGTGCATCACTAAACCTAGATGAGGATGATGCAGTTCTAAAAGAAGCACTAAATCCTGAATCTGTGCGAGAAAATGCTTCAAGGTCATCTTCCTCTGCGGTGTGGCAATTATCTTTCATTGGAGACTGAGGTATCGTTCTTTTACTGTTACCAAATGAATCTCCAAGTCCTGATTCTGCATGCAAATTTGCCGCAAGTTCTTCCCTAGGGGAATTTGAAGCTCCTTCTGAGTTAAGGCTAATACTTTTCCTGGGAAGGGGTGGAAGAGTTTTCTTACTACCATTTGCAGAAGATGGCGATGGTGTTTCTTCCCCACCAATAGAACCTCCCAGAGAACGTTTTGAATGCTTTTTGGAAGGCACTGGCACTAGCGGAGGATCACCTTTGACGGTACAATTCCATGGTATTGCTACTGAAACATCTTTGCAGTTGAAGTGCTCGTGAGCACGAGTAACTAGCATAGTTTTGAATTTTCCATTGCATGCACTTCTATGATCTTCATGCTTCCACACATATACTTCAGAATCTTCACTTGCACTTATAATATATCTTCCATCTGGACTAAATGAAGCTGCAATTTGACTGTTTGCATTACGAAAACCTGTTCATGTTCAACACCAATATTTTAAATCAACCTTTTTATGTTGCTGGGGCTGTGGAAATAGTTCTCATGCAAGAATTGATCATATCAGTGAAAAGGTAACTTCGGATAATGTTTTGCAGCACCTTTGTACTTTTGAACTACTTCTGAACCTTCCAATATTCTTATTCTTGAATCTGCTGAAGTTACAAGAATTTCTGATGGTTTGCCTGGAACAAACTGAAATGACAAAACGCCAATAATTAGATACATATACTTTTAGGATTACTCAGAACGAAACAAGTATGACCAATATATGGATATTAACTCACAGGAGGAGTTATTTTTACATTCGAGTCTGGTGTATTAATTTTTCAAAAAGTTAAATATGTTTTTAGTTTTCAAAAATTAGATTTAAAATTAAAATTTATTTTTATTCCAAATTTTAATATATTTTGGTCATTAAACTTTAAAAATAAATTAATATAATTCTTTTAATAAAACAACATTAATGTATTAAATAATATTCTAAACTAACATGTGAGATGTAATGTATGAAATAGTATTATTAAAGTATAATGCAAATTCTAGAAGAATGTAAAAGCTCCTTAGATAGAAGAATTGAAATGTAATATAAGTTCTAAAATATTGTAGAAAAGCCTAAGATAGGAAGAAAAATAAAAAATATTTTACGTAGGTAAAAATCTAGAACATTCCACATAAGTTGTGGCTAGTATGTTCTAGAATAATCTATGGGTTTATAAATACCCATGAACTCTACCATTTGATGCAAGATGTAGCCAACATCTACCATTTGTAAGAAGCTAACATCTACTACAACTAAAGACAACTACAACACTTCTTCCGACTACTACTTTCACATTCCACTATCTCCACATTTTCTCTACATTCAACTATCTCTACATTTTCTCTATCATCAACTATTCATTTCACAACCTCAAAATACTAATAGTGGTGTCAGAGCTACGTTCGATCATCTACTGGGCGTAGATAAAATGTTCAACTACCTCAAACAAAACTATAACTCATTCTACTACTTCCAAATATATTCTCAACACATGGCTACTACTAATCAAACATCATCAATTCCAATACCTATTTTCAAAGGAGAAAATTATGATTTTTGGAGTGTCAAAATTAAGACATTCTTCCGCTCTCAAGATTTATGGGATATCATAGAAGAGGAATTCACTATTCCAGAAGACACCTCTACTCTTATTGCAGCTCAAAAGAAGGAGTTGAAAGAAAACAAGCAGAAGGATTCAAGGGCTTTATTTGTTCTTCAATAAGCAGTTGATGACACAATTTTTCCAAGGATAATTGGTGCCACAAGTGCAAAACAAGCTTGGAACACAATACAAGAGGAGTTTCAAGGAAGTGACGAGGTACACAATGTTAAACTTCATTCTCAAAGGCGAGAGTTTGAATTATTAAGAATGAAAGAGTCTAAGACCATTAAAGACTACTATTCTAGAATAAAAGAAATAGTTAGTCAGATGAGAGCCTATGGCGAAATATTCTTGACAAAAAGATCGTTGAGAAAATTTTAATTTCTATTCCCCAAAAATATGATGCAATCGCAACTATCATTGAACAAACAAAAGATTTGACTACATTGTCAGTAACACAACTAATGGGCTCTCTTGAAGCTTATGAACAAAGATTGAAAATGCATGAAGAAGACTCGGTTGAAAATATTTTTCAATCAAAATGAAAATTACGGTCTCAGAAAAAAGAATATGAAGGAAATAAAAGTAGAGAAAAAATTTCTAGAAATAAAGAAAATTCTAGAAACTTCTCTATTACTTGTCAAGGAAAATATCCTCCATGTGGCATCTGTAAAAAGACAAGTCACTTGGAAAAAGATTGTTGGAATCATGAAAAACCTCAATGCAAGTATTGCAAGAAGTTTGGTCACATGGAGAAGTATTGTCGTAATAAAAATAGACATCAAGCAAACTTTGCAGAAGAAGATAATCAGGAGAAACTCTTATTCTATGCCAATCAAGAATCTCCTAGTGGAAAAGGGAGTTGGTACTTGGATAATGAATGCAGTAATCACATGGCAAAAGATCAGAGTATCTTCAAAGACATTGATAAATCTGTCAATGTCAAAGTTCGGCTAGGAAATGGAACCATAGTGGAGTCTCAAGGCAAAGGAATGGGGGAGACAAAGAAAGGTACGAAATTCATCAAGGATGTTTTCCCAATCTTAAAGAGAATCTTTTAAGTATTGACCAAATGATGGAGAATGGATATTCTCTTCATTTTGAGAAAGATACATGTAAAATTTATGATGGTAAAATGATAGAAATTGGCCAAGTAAAAATGGAGAAGAGAAATAGAAGCTTTCCTATAAGCTTCAAACCTGGAACTAATATTGCCATGAAGGTAGAAGTTGATGACTCATGGCTTTGGCATAGGAGATTTGGCCACTTCAACACACATGCCTTAAAGCTTTTATATCAGAAAAACATGATGAGAGATCTTCCATGCTTGAAAGAGAATAATGAATCATGCGAAGGATGTCTCCTTGGAAAACAACACCGATTACCATTCTCGACAGACAAAGCACGGAGAGCAAAAGACTTATTGGAGTTGATTCATTCCGATGTTTGCGGACCGATGAGAACACCTTCACATCATAACAATAGGTATTTCATCCTCTTCATTGATGACTTCTCTATAATGACATGGGTCTATTTCTTAAAGGCAAAGTCAGAAGTTTTTGGAGTATTCAAGAAATTCAAGGCCCTTGTCGAGAAGCAAAGTGGAAAACAAATAAAAGTACTTAGAAGTGATCGTGGCAAGGAGTACACATCTCGCGAGTTTGACAAATTCTTTGAAGATGAAGGCATAGAGCAACAACTTACAGTTGGATATACTCCACAACAAAATGGCGTGTCAGAGAGAAAGAATCTCACAGTTATGGAGATGGCAAGATCAATGTTGAAAGAGAAAAGTATGCCTAACATTTTTTGGGCTGAAGCAGTCTACACTGCAGTTTATATTCTAAACAGATGTCCAACTAAGGCAGTCCAAGACAAGACTCCTATTGAAGTTTGGAGTGGAAGAAAGCCATCAGCTAAACACCTACGAGTATTTGGATCTATCTGCTACATACATGTTCCTGATCAAAAGAGGCACAAGCTTGAAGACAAGACTATACAAGGAATATTTTTGGGATATAGCACACAGTCAAAAGGCTATCAAGTTTACAACCTACAAACAAAAAAGCTCATCATCAGTCGAGATGTTGAAGTTGATGAAAAGGCTTCTTGGAATTGGGAAGAAGAAAAAGTTGTTAAAAGCAACATTCTACTTCCAGTGCAACAATCTCAAGAAGAAACTCAAGAAGAGGCAGAAAATTCAGGTACACTTTCTCCACCTCCACAACAAGATTCTTCACCTGAATCTAGTCCAAGAAGAGTAAGATCTTTGGTAGACATATATGAAACTTGCAATATGACCATGATTGAGCCTAACTGTTATGAAGAAGCCTTAAAGCAAGAACTATGGTCAAGGCAATGGAGGAAGAAGATCAAATTGAAGATATGTTACCAAAGCCAAGATTTGAACTACTGTGCATAATGCTTGGAGTTATCGAATTTGCATTAAGGAGGAGTATTAAAGTGTAATGCAAATTCAAGAAGAATGTAGAAGCTCCTTAGATAGAAGAATTGAAATGTAATACAAGTTCTAGAATATTGTAGAAAAGCCTAAGATAGGAAGAAAAATCAAAAATATTCTACATAGGTAAAAATCTACTACATTCCACATAAGTTGTGGTTAGTATGTTCTAGAATAATCTATGGGTCTATAAATACTCATGAACTCTACCATTTGATGCAAGATGTAGCCAACATCTACCATTTGTAAGAAGCTAACATCTACTACAACTAAAGACAACTACAACACTTCTTCCAACTACTACTTCCACATTCCACTATCTCCACATTTTCTCTACATTCAACTATCTCTACATTTTCTCTATCATCAACTATTTCTTTCACAACCTCAAATTACTAACAAGTATAAACAGTTCAGGCGTAACTTCAAATGTAATTTTACGTATAATTTTTTTTTATTATTGACGAAAATTAATTTTGTATTTAAATTTAAAAATTAAAAACATATTTAACTTTTTAAAAGAAAAATGCTAAAATTTATATTTGTTTAGAATATTGTTTACTTTGTAACTATACGAGCCTTAACTTAATCTTCCCATAATGTACTTGTTTTCTCTCTTTTATTATATCTAACCATCTCTTGAGCAAGACTCTCAAAGATGAAAATTTATTAAAAAAATAAAAAAGAAAACAATTGTACAGACAAAAGGCCAGTAAATTTGTTTTCCCTGCATCAAATCCATTCTGGCTTGTGGCACATGAAAATAAGAATTACCTGAAAACCAGTGACTTTTCTTAGTTGGGATTTCTTTTGTGAAATCTCAATTGTTCCTGTTTGAGTTAGTTTGCAATCTGGTTTACCATAAGGAAATGGGAATTAACAGCTTGATATATTCAGTTTAAATGATTTATAAGATGTGTTAAATTTTTATTTAGATTACAAGATAGTTTCAATAGAGATAAAGATATAAAGAATAGAAGTCAAGTAGTTAATACCTTTTGTGCTATATGTACGACAACCGCCCTTGTGGGTACCAACAATAGCACCCTGAAATAATGAGAAAATATGAACAAAGATCAAATTAATGCATTATTAGTATTTGATTTTGTTTATCACGTTATTATCTAGGTTTAAATATGATTATTATGTGCACCCAAAAAGAGTTAGTTTCATCTTGTTTTATGGATTCCTTTCTCATCTTTTGCATATGCGTAGCTAATCTTTAATATTTAAAAAACTGTCTGTTTTTTATTTATTTTGGAGCTTTTAATGTTAATATTTTGAAATTTGCTGAGATGTTAACATTCTAAATCAATAGTTATGAGGATTTCACCAGTTTATAGGGTTTATAATTTAGATTCACCTTATTATAATTATGATATAGTTTCTAATTTTTTGACGTCTAAAGAAGTTTGTTTCGCAGAAGAATTGAAAATAGTCTTTTAAATGGTTTAATATGTTTGATAAGAGTAAAGATTGTAATTCTGACGATAAGTCCGTTCAAGTTTAAGAAAACCGGGTCAGAATAGACTAAAAAAAACTAATACTAAATCTTTCAAACTTTGTAAAAAGCACTAATGAATTTTAAAACCTTTTGCAAATTATATCTCTTAATATGTTGAAGAATTTGATTATTGAGCTTTAATTTATTAGTGGTATATTGGTTAATTTTTTTTCACCTATCACTACTTACATAGTTTTTCTTATAATAGGTATTTTTGTCTATACGTCCGATATAGATATATTTTTATGATAGGTTTGGTTAGATCTTTGTTGGAAATCCATCTCTTCTTGATTAACGGATACAATTCCATTGAAACTAATAAATGGTTTATTCTAAGGTCTTGAAATTATTTTTTTTACTCTTAAGGGATGTATATTCATTTTTGGAAAGGTGAAGCACATCTAATATTCACTATCATTCTTTATCTAGAACTTCAAACTTTCACTATAAATTGTGGTTGTGAGAGATTTGGAAGTAGTTGAGTAGTCTAACTAATAAGTTGAAGAATGATAGTAAGTTAATAATTAATTGAGAAAGAAAAGAGAGTTTCTATAATTTATTAGTGAGATTGTTGTAAGTCATCTAAAGAATGAGTTTGCATGTTATCTTCTTGATAAGAGAGATGTTTTTGTAATCCTATTTTCATAGTTGAGATCTTATTATTACTTGATCATATTGTTTTTCCTTCTCACATTTTAAATGAGTTTTTCATATTAAAAATATTATCAGTTATTATCTTCTTTTATTTATTTTTTTCTTGAGCCTATTTTAAATTATACAGAGAAATCTTTTCACATATTTTGTTCAATTTCCCAACAATTCTCCAATGTTTTTTTTTTCTGTTCTTTTTATTTTTTTAATGAAATCTTCTGGAACATTAAAATCAACGAGTAGATTTCTTTTGTTCATTGTTAACATCAAGTTAATGGAACTACCTATTGAAACAACGATAAAATAATTTAAGCTAAAGCTGATGAGTTAAACTTGAGAAACACCTGAATGAATTCTGCTTTTATCTATTGTGTTCTTCCTGTCTCAATCTAATTTTGATACCCTCTTTTACAGATATCTTTGTTTTATTTTTATATAAGAGAATTTTATCCCGTTTCGAGTTTTTAAGATATGTTAAATGAGAATTATCTGATATAGGGTTTGGTTATACTATTCTTCGAGAGCGTTATACCGAATGATACCTTTTGGTATAATGCTGTCGACCAGTAGTATTATCGAATGGTATCATTCGGTATAATGCTGTCGACCAATAGTATTATCAAATGGTATATCTGTTATCATTCTTTAAGAAATTATGGAGAAACTACTACTGTATTTAAATAAATCTGATTACAACCAATAAGAAATTCTAAGAAGAAAACAATACCTGACCGTCAGGTGTAAACGACAATGCAGTAACCATGTCATTGATATCAATCCAATCCACAACATGGCGTTCAGGAATGCTCCATAATCTAACCCTAGCGTCCAGCGAACCACTTATGAAAACATCATCTTTGAGAGGATTGAATTGTATGCAGGTTACTGCAATATCCATATATAACTAAATATGCATAAAAATCATAAAGAATATTAAAATCGTGCTCCAGAGGCTCAAACATCTCACTCTCACCATAGTCACTGTGGGGAAACCTGTACAAGCAAGTCCTAGTCTCCAAGTTCCATAATCTGACCGTTTTATCCATTGAAGATGAGAGAAGTAGCTACAGTTCAAAATTATAACCCATCAAATTTGAGGTTCTAATTATCTTCTTGCATGCAATAATACACCATGAATTTTGTATCCTAAAAGATATTTCACATGAATTTTAGACGATGATGATGATAAATTCTTTTTACTATTTTTTTTACTATTTTAGACGATGTTGGAAAAATGTTGTAACATATCATTTTCTTTTATTTATTTAGTTTTTTAAGTTATTTTCAAAATGAATTTATTCGTATTTGATTATTTTTCAACGTTGCTCAATATTATTTATAATAAAGTAAACGGATTTTTTTTAATTCTGTAGGGTTGGCTAAGGTTTATTATTTTTTTGAAAAAAGTAAGTTTCTGATTATTTTAAAACTAAACAGTTTTTCTGTTAGTTATTTTAATTAATTTTAGAAAACTATACCCATTTTGTGATTTTGGTCATCTGTCTAGCAGGAAGCATGAAGGTGCAAGGAGTACCTTAGATCGCGACCATGACAAATCTAAAACATCATCCAAATGTCCTTGGAAAGTGCAGAAGGGTTTGTCGGACAGTGAGAAGACAGTTTCAGGAACATGAACATAGTCAGGAATGGCGGGGCCCTTTTTGGTTCCGAATTTGCCCTTCTTCTTCTTGTCAGCCGCCGCCGGAGAGAAAGGCGAACCGTCGTTGGAGGCAAGCAAGGAAGGGTGAATAGGTGTGAAACTCCCCTCGTCGATCCTCAACGACATAAGCTCACACTCCTGCACTTCCCACACGTGTATCACCTTGTCCTCACCTGCACTCGCCAGAAACCTCCCATCCAAACTAAACCTAATCGTCCAAATCGACCCGTCGTGCCCCTGAAGCTCCTGACACAGATGCAACGCCGAAACCTCCTTGTGCGACTTCCCGCTCTGCCGCACTCGCACCCACTGACTCTTCTCCGCCGCCGCCGTTGCGGCGGCTGCGTTACCAACAGCCTCTCTCTCCCCAATGAACCCACTCGCCACACCTTTTATGTTCTTCAGAAATGCAACCCCTCTTCTCTTGCTCATCCTCAAACTTCTTGAAATGTACGAACTCGAAGTCAGCTTCCGCGACAAATTCTCGTTCCTCGTACTGCGTCGCATAAGCTCGTTAACCACGCGCGATTTCCCCACCGTCTTTTCAAACTCATCCATAGTTAACTGCCTCCCCGTCTGTAAATCACTCAGCCTGTTCCACGCACCGCTTTCGGTGCATTCGTTCACAATAAACTCCTTCCCCGTGTCCAAGTTCTTTATCAGGAAAAACGCTCGCACTCCCGAATCCTCAACTTTCGCGCTTTTCGGCTTGGACTGCGGTGCTTCGTCGGAATCCCTCAACACCGCTCTGTTTCTCGTTCCCGGCGGAGCGCGGTGGACGAACACCTCCGTCGCGGTTCTCGTCAACCTCTGCTTCGAACACTTTCCGATGAAATGTTCTCTTCTCGACCTCTCCAACGAGAACAACTCGATGTCTCCCTCGGATCGCGAACGAACAAGAACTAATTGATGAGAGGAGTTCTCTGAAAACATCTTCTCTGTCGAAACGGCAACGGCTGTCGTTGTCTCAGAAACCGGCATCGTTGAATCAGTAATCGGCGTCGTTGACACGATAGGTGTAACGGTAACGGGATTAGCGCAAGTAGACGGAAGTGTTGATTTTTCGGANATGAACTCTACCATTTGATGCAAGATGTAGCCAACATCTACCATTTGTAAGAAGCTAACATCTACTACAACTAAAGACAACTACAACACTTCTTCCAACTACTACTTCCACATTCCACTATCTCCACATTTTCTCTACATTCAACTATCTCTACATTTTCTCTATCATCAACTATTTCTTTCACAACCTCAAATTACTAACAAGTATAAACAGTTCAGGCGTAACTTCAAATGTAATTTTACGTATAATTTTTTTTTATTATTGACGAAAATTAATTTTGTATTTAAATTTAAAAATTAAAAACATATTTAACTTTTTAAAAGAAAAATGCTAAAATTTATATTTGTTTAGAATATTGTTTACTTTGTAACTATACGAGCCTTAACTTAATCTTCCCATAATGTACTTGTTTTCTCTCTTTTATTATATCTAACCATCTCTTGAGCAAGACTCTCAAAGATGAAAATTTATTAAAAAAATAAAAAAGAAAACAATTGTACAGACAAAAGGCCAGTAAATTTGTTTTCCCTGCATCAAATCCATTCTGGCTTGTGGCACATGAAAATAAGAATTACCTGAAAACCAGTGACTTTTCTTAGTTGGGATTTCTTTTGTGAAATCTCAATTGTTCCTGTTTGAGTTAGTTTGCAATCTGGTTTACCATAAGGAAATGGGAATTAACAGCTTGATATATTCAGTTTAAATGATTTATAAGATGTGTTAAATTTTTATTTAGATTACAAGATAGTTTCAATAGAGATAAAGATATAAAGAATAGAAGTCAAGTAGTTAATACCTTTTGTGCTATATGTACGACAACCGCCCTTGTGGGTACCAACAATAGCACCCTGAAATAATGAGAAAATATGAACAAAGATCAAATTAATGCATTATTAGTATTTGATTTTGTTTATCACGTTATTATCTAGGTTTAAATATGATTATTATGTGCACCCAAAAAGAGTTAGTTTCATCTTGTTTTATGGATTCCTTTCTCATCTTTTGCATATGCGTAGCTAATCTTTAATATTTAAAAAACTGTCTGTTTTTTATTTATTTTGGAGCTTTTAATGTTAATATTTTGAAATTTGCTGAGATGTTAACATTCTAAATCAATAGTTATGAGGATTTCACCAGTTTATAGGGTTTATAATTTAGATTCACCTTATTATAATTATGATATAGTTTCTAATTTTTTGACGTCTAAAGAAGTTTGTTTCGCAGAAGAATTGAAAATAGTCTTTTAAATGGTTTAATATGTTTGATAAGAGTAAAGATTGTAATTCTGACGATAAGTCCGTTCAAGTTTAAGAAAACCGGGTCAGAATAGACTAAAAAAAACTAATACTAAATCTTTCAAACTTTGTAAAAAGCACTAATGAATTTTAAAACCTTTTGCAAATTATATCTCTTAATATGTTGAAGAATTTGATTATTGAGCTTTAATTTATTAGTGGTATATTGGTTAATTTTTTTTCACCTATCACTACTTACATAGTTTTTCTTATAATAGGTATTTTTGTCTATACGTCCGATATAGATATATTTTTATGATAGGTTTGGTTAGATCTTTGTTGGAAATCCATCTCTTCTTGATTAACGGATACAATTCCATTGAAACTAATAAATGGTTTATTCTAAGGTCTTGAAATTATTTTTTTTACTCTTAAGGGATGTATATTCATTTTTGGAAAGGTGAAGCACATCTAATATTCACTATCATTCTTTATCTAGAACTTCAAACTTTCACTATAAATTGTGGTTGTGAGAGATTTGGAAGTAGTTGAGTAGTCTAACTAATAAGTTGAAGAATGATAGTAAGTTAATAATTAATTGAGAAAGAAAAGAGAGTTTCTATAATTTATTAGAGAGATTGTTGTAAGTCATCTAAAGAATGAGTTTGCATGTTATCTTCTTGATAAGAGAGATGTTTTTGTAATCCTATTTTCATAGTTGAGATCTTATTATTACTTGATCATATTGTTTTTCCTTCTCACATTTTAAATGAGTTTTTCATATTAAAAATATTATCAGTTATTATCTTCTTTTATTTATTTTTTTCTTGAGCCTATTTTAAATTATACAGAGAAATCTTTTCACATATTTTGTTCAATTTCCCAACAATTCTCCAATGTTTTTTTTTTCTGTTCTTTTTATTTTTTTAATGAAATCTTCTGGAACATTAAAATCAACGAGTAGATTTCTTTTGTTCATTGTTAACATCAAGTTAATGGAACTACCTATTGAAACAACGATAAAATAATTTAAGCTAAAGCTGATGAGTTAAACTTGAGAAACACCTGAATGAATTCTGCTTTTATCTATTGTGTTCTTCCTGTCTCAATCTAATTTTGATACCCTCTTTTACAGATATCTTTGTTTTATTTTTATATAAGAGAATTTTATCCCGTTTCGAGTTTTTAAGATATGTTAAATGAGAATTATCTGATATAGGGTTTGGTTATACTATTCTTCGAGAGCGTTATACCGAATGATACCTTTTGGTATAATGCTGTCGACCAGTAGTATTATCGAATGGTATCATTCGGTATAATGCTGTCGACCAATAATATTATCAAATGGTATATCTGTTATCATTCTTTAAGAAATTATGGAGAAACTACTACTGTATTTAAATAAATCTGATTACAACCAATAAGAAATTCTAAGAAGAAAACAATACCTGACCGTCAGGTGTAAACGACAATGCAGTAACCATGTCATTGATATCAATCCAATCCACAACATGGCGTTCAGGAATGCTCCATAATCTAACCCTAGCGTCCAGCGAACCACTTATGAAAACATCATCTTTGAGAGGATTGAATTGTATGCAGGTTACTGCAATATCCATATATAACTAAATATGCATAAAAATCATAAAGAATATTAAAATCGTGCTCCAGAGGCTCAAACATCTCACTCTCACCATAGTCACTGTGGGGAAACCTGTACAAGCAAGTCCTAGTCTCCAAGTTCCATAATCTGACCGTTTTATCCATTGAAGATGAGAGAAGTAGCTACAGTTCAAAATTATAACCCATCAAATTTGAGGTTCTAATTATCTTCTTGCATGCAATAATACACCATGAATTTTGTATCCTAAAAGATATTTCACATGAATTTTAGACGATGATGATGATAAATTCTTTTTACTATTTTTTTTACTATTTTAGACGATGTTGGAAAAATGTTGTAACATATCATTTTCTTTTATTTATTTAGTTTTTTAAGTTATTTTCAAAATGAATTTATTCGTATTTGATTATTTTTCAACGTTGCTCAATATTATTTATAATAAAGTAAACGGATTTTTTTTAATTCTGTAGGGTTGGCTAAGGTTTATTATTTTTTTGAAAAAAGTAAGTTTCTGATTATTTTAAAACTAAACAGTTTTTCTGTTAGTTATTTTAATTAATTTTAGAAAACTATACCCATTTTGTGATTTTGGTCATCTGTCTAGCAGGAAGCATGAAGGTGCAAGGAGTACCTTAGATCGCGACCATGACAAATCTAAAACATCATCCAAATGTCCTTGGAAAGTGCAGAAGGGTTTGTCGGACAGTGAGAAGACAGTTTCAGGAACATGAACATAGTCAGGAATGGCGGGGCCCTTTTTGGTTCCGAATTTGCCCTTCTTCTTCTTGTCAGCCGCCGCCGGAGAGAAAGGCGAACCGTCGTTGGAGGCAAGCAAGGAAGGGTGAATAGGTGTGAAACTCCCCTCGTCGATCCTCAACGACATAAGCTCACACTCCTGCACTTCCCACACGTGTATCACCTTGTCCTCACCTGCACTCGCCAGAAACCTCCCATCCAAACTAAACCTAATCGTCCAAATCGACCCGTCGTGCCCCTGAAGCTCCTGACACAGATGCAACGCCGAAACCTCCTTGTGCGACTTCCCGCTCTGCCGCACTCGCACCCACTGACTCTTCTCCGCCGCCGCCGTTGCGGCGGCTGCGTTACCAACAGCCTCTCTCTCCCCAATGAACCCACTCGCCACACCTTTTATGTTCTTCAGAAATGCAACCCCTCTTCTCTTGCTCATCCTCAAACTTCTTGAAATGTACGAACTCGAAGTCAGCTTCCGCGACAAATTCTCGTTCCTCGTACTGCGTCGCATAAGCTCGTTAACCACGCGCGATTTCCCCACCGTCTTTTCAAACTCATCCATAGTTAACTGCCTCCCCGTCTGTAAATCACTCAGCCTGTTCCACGCACCGCTTTCGGTGCATTCGTTCACAATAAACTCCTTCCCCGTGTCCAAGTTCTTTATCAGGAAAAACGCTCGCACTCCCGAATCCTCAACTTTCGCGCTTTTCGGCTTGGACTGCGGTGCTTCGTCGGAATCCCTCAACACCGCTCTGTTTCTCGTTCCCGGCGGAGCGCGGTGGACGAACACCTCCGTCGCGGTTCTCGTCAACCTCTGCTTCGAACACTTTCCGATGAAATGTTCTCTTCTCGACCTCTCCAACGAGAACAACTCGATGTCTCCCTCGGATCGCGAACGAACAAGAACTAATTGATGAGAGGAGTTCTCTGAAAACATCTTCTCTGTCGAAACGGCAACGGCTGTCGTTGTCTCAGAAACCGGCATCGTTGAATCAGTAATCGGCGTCGTTGACACGATAGGTGTAACGGTAACGGGATTAGCGCAAGTAGACGGAAGTGTTGATTTTTCGGAGGAAATGGAGTTGGTGGGCTTTGAAACTGATTGACCGAGTTCCACGGGCGTGGTTTTCGAGAACTCTTTGTCGTCGTCCAGACCCATGCCGTGGAGCAAACGCTTTCGGCGCTCGTCAATTGAGATGGGGGCCGCCATCCATACGCCGTAATCTTGAGCAGCATCCATCGTGGGAGAAAGGCTGTTTCGACGCGAGGGAGCGGAGGAGATGGCTGAGGCGAAGGAAAGGCGGGGGTCGTCGAAATCGTCGTCGTCATCGTCGGAGGAGGAGGCCAGGTCGAGGGGGGCGGCGGTGGAGAGGCGGCTGTATGACTCGAAGAAGGCATCATCGTCGTCAACATCGCCAAGGCCGTCCCAGTCCATCGTCATCGTTTTCCGGCGTCCCATGGCGGTGCATTGGCGCGAAAACAGGGGTTGGGGATGGATGTGGTATCTCTGGAGTGAAATCTTTTTTGTTTTTTTTGGTTTGGTGTTGAATTTTTTGTTTGTGGCTGCGTGTCGGTGTTTGGGGCAGAGGAAGTGAAGAGAGAAAAAGAAGGAAAGAAAGACAGGTTGATTACCGTTATGGATTTTTGGGGGCAAAGAAACGGTCAACGGATTCCATGCCTCATTCTCTGTCTTTTCTAATGTCTTCACTTTCAAAAATGAAAAATAAAAATTTATTTCATCACTTAGGATACTAAGTGTAATGGTACGAAGATTTTATAAAGCTATTTGACAAGCTAGGTCCATTGATCAAAGGACACTTGAACCTTGGGAGAGGCTCTTTCCTTGCAAGCCAGATTTCATTTCACAGATTCCTCTCTCTAGAACAGAAACTTTGCCCTAACTCAAGTGCTCTGACTTCTCTCTAGGTTTCCAGTCATTTCCACCGATTGAATCATAATTTGGTGGTGTTTTCTTGTTCCTGGAGTCAAGAGCTACGAAACCATCTGATTGGTTTTGCGTTCCAGCGGGTAAGTAGATTTTCCCTCTTTCCCTTCACTGTTCTTGTCCTA